ACACATTGTGAAAAATGTGAGAATGTGGACACATTGTGAAAAATGTAAAGAATATCATGGAACAAATAGTTAAGTGAGAATCTAATTTGCTATGTAAACTTTCACCAAAATACATTTTTTCTTTTTTATGAGCTGCTCTGTCCTTCAGGAGGGAGCTGCTCTGTCCCTCAGGAGGGAGTGGGGTAGCTGCATCTCCAGCCAATGGGGAAGTTGAGTCTAAGGCTCTAGGATGAACTACCACACCAGATGGAGCTACCATGGCAGGGCTTTGGATAGAGAATTAAGTCTCACTTTACAGCAACCCCACTGGGTTCAAAGTCATCAGAAGGGGGAGATGAGCCTTGGGGTGAGGGGAGGGCTCACCAGCTCTAGGCCCACTGGAAGTGGTAAGCAGCTCTGGGAGAAAAGAGAGGCACCTGGCCCACGTCAAGGCCTTCTTCTGACCTTGAGGATTAGGAAGGTGTCACTGTCAGCATTCCCTTGGCACACCAGCCTGCAGACCATCCCTAGCCCCTCCAGGCCCTACCAGGCTCCTCAGCAGGTTCAAGGTAGCATTATAGCCTGGTCCTCATGCCTGCGAGAAGGCAGGGCTGGGTGGGTCAGGGAAATGATGGGGCCAGTTCCTCTCAGGATTGTTCTGCGAGCCAGAGCATGGGAGATGGACAAGCAGGCATGAGATAGTGTGTTCCAAAGTACTCACAGGCTCCTCTTCACTGCTGGGGGTTTTTGCCGCCATTTGATGGGGGACTTTCTCTAGAATGGGCATCTTGGGAACTCCTGGTCTGGGAAAGCAGGTACAGACCTGAAGACAGAGAGAAAGGGGGTCATCAGTATAATGGCCACATACATTTACCATGACTCCTTCATCACCAACCTGTGGACCCCCTACAGCACCTCAACCTGTGAAGAGTCCAGAGAGGGACAGGAGTATACAGAGGCCTTGTTGCAGGCAGTTGTTGATCTTTTGGCCCCTGGATTAGCTCCCTTGACCACTGTGCCCTCTCTGAACCCCTCAGTGGGAAAGGGTGGATCCTGAAGTGAGCCTCCAGCTGAGACTTGCTCCCATGAGGTTGCTGCCACTGAAGTCCAGCCCAATCATCCCAGAGACCACCCCAGGGCAATGTTGGAGGGAGCAGGGCTAGGTTTGCCCACTCCAGTCCACTCCCAGTTGGCCACATCTCTACCTCCACCTCCATAGAAGGGCTGTTGGCAGAGCCCTGTATTCCTGTCTGGGAGTTCCAACAGACATGTGTTATGCTGATTACAATCTCTCTTTCCCACTAGACAGCGAGCTCCATGAGGGTCAGACCATACCTGCTGTGTCCAGTGCTTCATCTCTGGGACCTAGTGAGGTGCCCATCAATGCTTCTTAGTTGAGTAAATACAGGAATACTGGCATGCTTGTGAGTGTGAATAAGTGAATGAGTGAATGAATGTATTCAAGGCTCTTGAAGACCCTAGGATATAGAAGACTATCTGAGTTGATTGGGGGCCTGGTTTGATTGGGTGCCTGGCCTGTGACCAGAATAAGGAGGCCCCTGGAACCTGCTGGAAGGACTGGAGACTTGGCAGTCTCTCGTCTGTAGGCTCCCAGTGTCAGTGGCTTAAATGTGCTGATGCTGAAGAGTGTGGTGCAAGGAAGATGGGCAGCTAGGGCTCTGGAGACCACTAGCCCAGCCTGGAGAGCTCCACTTACTTCAGAAGTTGCATTAGAAGTGAGCTAGATCAAAAGGAATAAAGGTGGGCTTTTTAGGCTCCTATCCTCTGAGATCCCCCTAAGCCCCTAAGCTTAGGCACACACTCAAGATTTCCACCTATCCACCTATTCCTGTTCTCTCCCAAGAGCCTAAAGCTAATACATTCCCCCACTTCACTGCCCAGTTCTCCTCCAAGATGGAACATCCAGAAAAAATGGATGACCAAGGCCCAAAGGCAGAAATGCCTGAGGCTACTGGTGGCGCTGAGTAGAGATTGTAGTAGAGTGTTAGCAGGCACTGAGCAGCTGCGGGCCCAACCGCTGGGGATCTCCTGGCGCTCCTGCGCAGCGGGAACGCAGGGGCTGCCCCCACCGGAAGAAGAAAACAGCAGAGTGTAGGTGAGGGACCGCCGGGACTCGGAGGTGTTTTGTTGAGGCAGTGAGGGCAGGGTCATGTTGGTGGAAGCCCTAGGGGCCCATGAGGCCAATGCCTTCTCTTGCTCTGGCCTGGTGCCGAGCCACAAAGGCAAAATTTAGTCTGGTCTCAGCGACCCCACGTCTTGGAGAAGTGTAGCGGAACGGAATGGTTTCTTAGTGGCTTCTGAAGAGTGGAGCGTGGTCCCGTTCTGCCAACTCCCTCTCCTTGGCTCTGGCGCCCCAGCGCCCAGAACGTGTATTGTGTGGATGTGTCTTTCTTCCCGTCTGTCTGGTGCCCTCAGGTCCATGCTCCCGCCTGCCTGGCTTCCGAAGGCTCCCGGGAGGGGTCCCAGCTAGGCTCTGGAAGTCCAGCCCCAGCCCAGCCCCGCATCTCAGGCTGTCTGAGCACTCCGGGGAGCCCCTGCGCTTGGAATTGGCACCTACAGCTGCCTTTTGCTTTCAGCTTTCTGCCCCTGCTCCGGCGCATCGGAAGGCCGGCTGAGCCTCCCCTGAGCTCAGAAAGCACAGCCTTGGCAGATGGTGTCCAGACGAAGTGAGATCGTGAGCCACTGGACCCTAATGTTAAGCCTCCCCAAGCCCTTCCTCCTAACTTCTTATCTTCTAGCACCACTACCGCCGCCTACTCCACACTGGGCCTGGAGGCACCGGGCACCGGCTTGTCCTCAGCGGCTTCCTCGCTGTCCCCGACGGCCGCGGCCGCTGGGGATTCGGAGGGCTTCGCGGGACCTGGGGCCTCCAGCCCTAGCGCGACTACCGGACAGAGCCTTTTTCCCCGCCAGTCATCCCCAGCGCGCTTCTCCCCGCGCCGCGCCTGGCCGCCGGACCCACCTCACCTGCTCTCCTCTGCTCTGCTGTGCCGACCGCCGCTGAGCTACACCAAGCCTGAAGCGGGCGGACGGGAGTGGGGCGGAGGTAGGAGCGTCAGCAGCGCGGTGGAGGGAGCTGCGGCTTCTGTCCGGGTCCCCGCGGCCGCCAGACTGGCTGCGTACTAGCCGGCTGCGCTTCTCTGCCCCTCCCTTTTCTGCCCCTCCCTCTCCTTATTTTCTTCCTCCTCCTTCCTCCCCACCTTTCTCTACCTCCGGGTGTTCCGTTCCCCCAACCCCAGCCTCTCACGATCCACCTCCGGGCTCTCTCAGACCTGCCTGGACGGCTTCCGGGACCGGCTCATGCGTTGGGCAGCAGAGTCCAGGCCCAAGAAGGGGGCGCAGAACATTGGCCCCCCGGTACCCGTTGCTCTCAACCTGCTTTTCCCCTATCGCCGCATGCCCGCCCGCCCAACTCCTTTATCCCTGCCTTCAACCCTGAGGAGGCTGGGCCGGGAAACTTACGTCCTCATTCTCAGGCTGGGCTCAAGCCCCTCTCAAGACAATAATAAACCTCTTAGTTGATCACTATAGGAGCTCACTCCTTCTCTATTCCCACCTCATCACCGCTGGGGGTGGGAAGACTGTACAGACAGGTTGATCCTGAGGACAAACCTGGGAATGCTTGGGGACACGCCTGACACTCCCTCCAGACAAAAGCCGCCCCCGCCAAGATATAGATCTCACACACAAACACAGTCGCGCACTCAGGCCAAGGAAAGACGTGCACACCATTTGTACAGACCCCCACCGGTCCAGAATCCAAGCCCTGCAGCCTCTCCACGCCGGAATCTGAGCCCCCTGTGGCTTTGATCATGCTATGGGCTCTGGGGCTGCGAGTGGTGGCAAACAAAGCTTGGGGTTCCTGGGATTCCAGGCAGGGCTGAGACTGCCTTAGAGACTTCATTTACAGACCTGGGCTGCTGCATCCACCGCCGGAGTGAGGGTGGAGGAACTTAGCACCACCTCCCAAACCCGCACGCCCTCGTGTCCCCACTAAAACCCACACCACCTGCCGGACCGGACTCAAACGCGGTTTCCCGCCGAGAACCCAGACCAACAATTAGCTCTCTAACGAACACACACATCACACACGCATTCATCTTGAAAGATGAGGCCAGTTTTTCTTCCTCAGCTCAGAACAGCTCGGCCGCTACTCCTTTCTGAACTTGGGATCCAGGCGGGGGAAGAACGCTTTGGCTGAGGTTAAAGCCAGCGTAGCGCTTCCGAACTGAAGGGCTAGCGCTGGGCGTGACCTTGAGGGGCGGGGCCTGGTGCCACTGATTAAGATCCTCAGGCTTCCTGGGCTAGGCCCCTTCTCGCCCTGCGCTGGGCCTGGGAGGGCGGAGCTGTGTGAGGAACCTAGTGCTAACCCGGGCGGGGGATACACCAGGATTGTCAATGGTTGAGCCCTTGTTGAGTTTGCTCCATCTTATCCATCCCCTTTTCCGGCAGCCAAAGGCTTATCACGTGGCCGCCTCTCTCATTCTTGGAGTAGTAGCCTTAGAGACCCATATCACCCATCCCCTCTGCCCTGGGCCCTGTGTCTGGTCGCCCACTTCCACCAGGAAAGACACTCGGTCTCTGACAGACATGGTTTATTGATTTGGGCCAGAGCACCGCGATGCAGCCGGCCAAGTTGGCACTGGGAGGAATGGAAGGAAAGACAGATGAACAAAGTTGGCGGCTCTTGCGTCTTCACCCCTGCAAGGAGCACATTCGCTTCTCGTGCCTCGATGCTCCACGCCGTTAGACCAGAGAAAGAGAGAGAGAGAGAGTGTTTGTGTGTGTGTGTGTGTGTGTGCGCGCGCGCGCGTTAAAGAGAGAGAGAGAGAGAGAGAGAGAGAGAGAGAGAGAGAGAGAATGGAGAAGGAACTGAGGCAAGGGTAGCCAAGACCCAGGTGGGATGGAGGCGGGCCCTAAACCGGAGTTTGGCCAGTGTGCTAGAAGGGCAGCCACTTTGACAGGTAACAGAGCGGTGACCGGGAGGAAGAGCGGGGCTGCTAGCTGTAGCCGTTATAGTCGTCCTCACACTCATCAAAAGGGCCAGGAGGGCTCCCAGGCGCGCCATCTGGAGCCGAAACAGGGCGCTCACGCAAGCGCATAGCATCGTACAGCCCCTGCGGCGGCTCGTCGAGCAGCACGTCGCGCTCTGTACAGGAACGCGTTAGGAGGCCCACGTTGCGAAGCAGCAGCAGGACAGGCGCGTAGAGCAGGTTGGCCAGGCCCATGCCAAGACTGAGCTGCGCAAAGCCCAGCGAGTGCACGATTTGACCCGCCACGATGGGCCCGAGCGCGTAGGCCACGGAATAGGAGATGTCGGCGATGGCGTAAACGCTGCCGTAGACCGAGACGTGCCGCACGTCTACGAGGAAGGCGAGTGTGGGGAGTAGTGCTGTGTCTACCAGCGCGATGCCAAAGCAGAGGCCGCATAGCGAGGCCACTAGAGGCCCGAAGGAGCGGCAGGCAGGCACGACGCAAGAGCTGGCACCAATCACTACCAGTCCGATAGCGCCGTACAGCCACTGCAGGTGTGGATAGCGCGCAGCTAAGCGCACGGTGAGGTAGACGCCTAGCACATGCGGCAAGAACGCGGGCAGCCAGACCATGCCCATCTCCCACTCAGACGCCGCCATTGTGTGCTTCATCCATGTGGAGATGGTAGGCTCGAGGAAGGCGAGCGGGATGTTGCAGGTGGTGAGCGCGCCAGCCACCACGGCGATGTACGGATCCAGCATGAGGCGGTGGATGGGCGTTCCCACAGGCAGGTTGGCCCGCGCCCGCGCGGCAGCCGAGAAGGGCTTGGCTACCGCTAGCAGTAGCAGCGCGTCGAGCAGCGACACGGCTGCGAGCACAAGGAAGGGTACGCGCTTGCCCGCGAACTCGTAGAGGATGCCCCCAAAGGGTGGCGCCACTAGGCTGCCAAAGCTGATGAAGGCCAGGGCCACGCCCAGTGCGCGGCTGCGCTCGGACTCCTCGGGATATTTGTCGGCGATCATGGCAATGCCGGATGTGTCCGCGAAGGCCGAGCCCAAGCCCTGAAGGCTGCGTGCGGCGAATAGCGTGGCGTAGTCCTCGGCGAATGCAAACAACACCGTAGAAGCAAACATGACACCCAGGCCGATAAGCAGCGGCACGTCGTAGCTCATGCGGTCGATGAATGGCCCACTCAGGGGATTCACTAGCAGCTGAAGTATGGCCTTGGAGGCGAACAACACCCCGATCTTCACGTCCTCGCTCTCCGTGGGGTAGCGGGGCCTCAGGGCCGGCCTGGAGGGCCACGCAGCCGTCGGGGGCACCGAGATGTTGACCGTGGAATAGGAATAGCTGGCATTAGCTGGAGTGGGCGGCGGCTGGGTGGGCGCCCACACCTCGGGGGTCGGCGTGAAGCTCTCGCTACCTCCGCGCATGTGAGCGATGTAATCAGGCACGATGGGCACGATGACCATGTACAGCATATTGTCCAGGAACAGCGCCACACACACGATGACCAGCACCAGGCGCCGCTGCCGCCGAGGCTCCCGCAGCGCCGCTCCCACTGTCTCCGACAGCTTGGTGGCCGCCGCCCGGGCCTGGTCCGCTGGCTCCACGGGCTCCATGGTGCCTGCTACCCCGCCGCTCTTCAGGTGGACGCTTCCGCCGGACCGGGCGTAAGCGCCCACACTGCACAGAAGAGGGTGAGAGACTTCGGGGCGCGGTTCGTGCCGCGCAGAGCCCTCTGTGCCTCAGGTGGCCGCGGGACTCATGGCTCTACACCACGGGAAATACAGGGACCCCGTCCGGCGAGCTGCTGCCACTGCTTCGAACCGAGCGAGGGACGGGGCGCAGCTGGGCTCAGGAGCGGCCGAGGTGGTAGGCGCGCGGAGGGGCAAGGGCTGGAGCCTGAGTGTGCTACTCCCAGGGAGCGCCGGGAGCCACCCCCGCCGCTCTAAGAGGCCGGCCGCGCGGGCCGAGGGGCATGCTGCTGCTCGGCGCCCGCTCGCTCACTCGCCCCGCAGTGCCGTTCCCCTCCCTTCGCGTTGGCTCTTGCCTCCTCCTCCGCCGCCTCCTCTTTTTTTCTCTTCCACTCGGGGCTGTGACGCGGCGAGTCCCGGCCCCCGAGTGGTGCCCGGGCCACTTGCGTCTCTCATGCTAATGCAACGTCGGCGGGGCGGGGGCTGGGGGCGGGGCGCGGCCAGGCGGGGGTCCCCTTCCCAGATGGCGCCAGGGCTGGAAGCCCCAGGAAAGGGTCTTGGTGCAGAAGGAGTCCTGGCCAAACCCCTGGGGATGGATACACTGTGCGACAGTGGGTTTTCTGCCCTTAGTTCCAGGACGCTCTTCTTCCCCGGGGAAGGGGGTCGTGGCGGTCAGCTCTCCGCGACCCCGTGGGAGATGGGGCCGCCAGGGGCTCGAGATCTCCGCCTTCGCCTGGATCTCGGCGCACAGCGGGCAGGGAGCCCCCGAGGTGAGCCGCGGCTGCGTCCACCTGTTCTCGCAGCTGAAGTGCCAGCCGCGACCAAAGGAGCTCCCTACACGGACCCCCTAACCCTTTCTCTGGCCCCGCCCATGAACCCTTTTACCCCTGGGAAGGAAGAGGGAGGTGCAGGAACTGCTAGGCTAGGTTCCTACCGATGGGTCCTTCAGGAGAATGTCACAATGCCAATTCCGACTGTGAGCATCTAGAGATGGAGACAAGTCGTTTGTCCGCGCCCGCCCCCCCCGCAGGCCTGGATTGTCAGCCCAGTCCCTCCTACTCTCTCGAACTGCACCGCCTCCCTCCCCAACCTTGACTCCCCCTCCGCTTTAACTGTCGGGGTCTCGCAGCTCCCCCATCATCTTCTTTTCCTCCCCCTAACCTCCTTCCAAGGTTTATTCCCACGGGACCAAAGCTTCTACCCACTCCTGCAAGGCCCCTCCTTTTTTCTCCTCCCTTTCCCCATCTTCAGAGCTCGGTTGTGCGGCCTCTAAGACCACAGTGGGCTCCAGGAGGTGACTTAGCCGAGGTCCTCTCTAATAGCTGGGGGAAATCCCGAACGGGCGCACCGCCTACTCCCAGAGAAGGGCCCAGCAGCTTTGCTTTCGTCAGAGACTCTGGGAATGCTCACCTTCATTGAGGGCCGCTCCCAAAGAGGCACCCAATTTTCAGCAGGCACTCGGGAGCCGCCCAGGCTGTGCCCTAAGCCTGATGCATACCCAGGACCCGGTTGGCCATAGATGACACATAGAGCCTGTGTACGCAGGCGGGCTGGCAGGCGACAGGCTCCGAAGTAGTTGAGTCGGTTCAAGGGCTTGTGGAGATTACAGTTTCTCTGTCTTCCACAGTCTGAGAGGACCCTCTCTACCCTTCTGACCTCAAAAGCAAAGTAGCATTTGATTCATCCTGGCAATGCTCCCACTCCCCAGGAGTACAATGGTTTGGTGCTTAGCTTTAGAGGCAGACAACTGGGATGATTCGTTATTCTGCCATTTACAAGAGGGTGACTGGGGGAATTACTTCTCTTTCGCCCTCAGTTTCATTGTCTATAAAATGGGATAATAACAGTACCTAGTGCTCAGGGGTCTGCTCTGGTAGCTAGTGCTTAAGGCACTTGACTGCTAACCAGAAGGCTAGCTGTTCAAACCCACCAGCCACTCCTCAGAAGAAAGGTTGGGCAATCTACTTCTGTAGTGATACTGCCTCGGAAACCCAAGAAGGGGTCGCTATGAGTTGGGTCTTACTCCACAGCACGTAACAACAACAACAACAACAACAGTGCTCAGGGTGCTACACGTAGTGAGAGCAGTGTAAGTACTTGCTATTATTATTATCTGTAAAAATGCCCTGTTTTAGCTTCATTTCACAGTTGTGGGGTTTATGAAGAGCAGATAATAGACACAGGGCACCCTGGCTTCCTTGCTACTCACTCTGGTTAGGTGGGCATTGTGAGTCTGGGCTCTGTTCGGACTGGTGGGGCCCAGAGGGCATTGGAAAGTTGGCTTCTGTCCCTGAGACAGCTGTGGGATGAGGTGATGGAGACCAATGCGTCAGGTGAAAAGGCAGCAGCCTTGCCACCTATTGCCAAATCTTTCCACCCACCCAGGCACTCCAGAAAAGGAGGAGAAACTCATCCACTTAAGGAACTGGCAGCACTGGCTCCACAATGGCCATACTGCCCTCTGTCTGCAGTTTCCCATCACAGAAGGGGAAGAGCCCCCATGGATGACCTTGGGCTAGTCACAGCCCCTCTCTGGACCCCAGCCTTGGCCTCTGTCAAGTAAAGAATTAGACAAGAGGCCCCTCACTGCAGCCGTCTGCAGCTCCAGAGCTGTAGAAGGGCTCTGTTTGGATAGGGGAATTATTAAATTTTGTTTGAAGATCTTTAGTCAGCATATACAGTGTTATTGAAGCCCCCCTCCTCCTTCCCACCCAGCTAGTTTTCATGTTCATGTTACTTCCTTAGGCAAGGGTGTTTGAGACCTCCTAGCTCATCCACCTTATTATGAGGCTTTTAAAGGAGTGGTCCTCCAGCTTACAGAATTTTTTTAAAAATTATCGTTATAACAATTATGATGATTAATTATTTGCCCTGTCTGATTAAAGAAGGGGGAAAAGGCAGAAGTTTTCTGTCAAGTGATTGAAGAATTGTGGGGTCTTAGTGGAGAGTATCTTTTCCCAGGGCCTGCAAGATGGCAGGCCCCATTTTCCTAGCTCTCTGGCCCACATAATTCATGGGTTGTTCCTGAACGTTAAGCCAGGTAATCTGTAGGCTCAGGCTTACCTCTTCAGTCCCAAACCTCTATGGCAGGAAGAATATTCATTTATTAAGTACTTACTCTGTACCAAGGGCATTGTATAGGCTGTTTTATTTAATCCTCACTCTATTCTGTTACAGTATAGGTAATATTTCCCCCATCTTAGAGATGAGGAACCTGGGTGTGCCCAGATCCCAGCAGCAGAGCCCTACATTTAAACCTGGGCTGAAGACTGTCTTGTGGTCTTCGATCTTCTCTGCATGATCTGTGCCAAACTGATTGTGTTGTTGCTGAAACAAAAGGTGGCACACCTGGCAGTGTAGAGAAGAAAGGCAGATGAAGACTTATGGGAGGAGGCCTCAAAAGACACAAACTCTCTCACTCCATCTTCCATCTCAGAAGACAACCCCCATCCATCAGCAGTTCCAAAGACTAGGATGTGGGAGTAAGAAAGGGGAGAGGCAAGGATACCCTTCAACCAAAGGCTGGTGCTTGAGTGATGGCAGGACTTCAGTCTTTGCACTAATGCACATGGAGCTGTCCATGGTTCTGGCCACCCGCCTCTGCTGTTTGTTAGCTAGCTCCCACAAAGTGCTCTGCCCCTTCGTCTTCCTGCTCCTGTGGCTTCCTCTTAAACTGAAAATCAAAAGACCAAATCCATCGAGTCGATTTCAACTCATAGTGACCTATGGAGCAGAGTAGAACTACCTCATAGGGTTCCCAAGACTATATATAAATCTTTACAGAAGCAGATTTTCATATCTTTCCTGTGAATTCAAACTACTGAAATTTTGGTTAGCAGCTTAGTATTTAACCACTGCACCAAACTGAACACTTGGAATTTCCTTTACTAGTCTTCTCTGAGCATTGTTAATAGGCAAAACTTTCCATCTCCTACAACAGAACCAGATGTAAAACTGTGGCTTGTTATTGTTAAGTGCTATTGAGTTGCTTTTGACTCATAGCAACCCTACATACAACTAAACAAAACACTACATCATCCTTACAATCATTGCTATGTTTGAGTCCATGTTGCAGTCACTGTGTCAATCCATCTTGTTTATGGATTTCCTCTTTTTCACTGACATTCTGCTTTACCAAGCATGATGTTCTTCTCCAGGAAATGGTCCTTCCTGAAAACATGTCCCTCCTGATAACATGTCCAAAGTATGTGAGATGAAGTCTTGCTATTTTTGCTTCTAAAGAGCATTCTGGTCATACTTCTTCTAGGATAGATTTGTTCACTCTTCTAGCAGTTCATGGTATTCTTTGCCAACACCGTACTTAAAAGGCATCAATTCTTCTTTGATCTTCCCTATTCATTGTCCAGCTTTCACGTGTCTCGAGGCAATTGAGGATACTATGGATTGGGTCAGGCTCACCTTAGTTCTCAAAGTGACATCCTTGCTTTTTAACACTTTAAAGAAATCTTTTGCAGCAGAGATGCCTGGTGTTTGATTTCTTAACTGCTGCTTCCATAGCCATTAATTGTGGATCCAAGTGAAATGAAATCCTTGACAATTTCAATCTTTCCTCCACTTATTATGATGTTGCTTATTGGTCCAGTTGTGAGGATTTTTTTTTTTCTTTATGTTGAGGTATAATCCGTACTGAAGACTGTAGTCTTTTATCTTCATCAGTAAGTGCTTCAAGTCCTCTTCACTTTCAGCAAGCAAGGTTGTGTCATCTGTATATCCAGGTTGTTAATGAGTCTTCTTCCAATCCAGATGCCACGTTCTTCGTATAGTCTAACTTCTTAGATTATTTTCTCAGTGTATGGATTGAATAAGTATGGTGAAAAGATACAACCCCGATGCACACCTTTTCTGATTTTAAATCATGTAATGCTCTCTTGTTCTGTTCAAGGGACCGCCTTGGTCTATGCACA